TCCTGTTTCTCACAACCTGTTAGTGAAAATGTCTGTATCATTCCAGGTCATTCTGACTGAACTTGCTTTAAAAAAAACTGGCATGAGACAATCTGTCAGGCATATGGAACGCCCCATGTCCTGGATAAGTCCCAGTCGGACCTTTCATACTCAGCCAACTACAGACAGCCAAAGTGTCACACCATCAAAGCTTCCTATGGCTATCATGAGAATGCAACAGCTTTTTAAAGTAGTTAGCAACTAACCACGCAAGTAGCGTTCAGCTCATGTCTGGAGTACTGGCAGTGCCGTGTAACAGTACTCCTCTGTTCTCTGTAGGCTTCAGGCTGCCTTTTTTATTCGTGGCCACTGACAGCACTTGCAGCCTGCGGCGTCCCTACCCCACATGCTGCCATCTGACTCTCCTTTTGGCTTCACCTCTGCATAAATGAAATATCAGATCCAAGGCAAAGGCAACAGGAGGGCTAGGGTTTTGTCTGGGGTTTTTTATAAAGACCATATGACAAGTTAAAGGGCCAAATACTGTTCCTGGTGAAATCAATGGGAGTTTTACTATTGAACTCAGTAGAAGCAAGTTTTCTGCCTACACTGCATTTATAGGATTTGACCCTTACCATCTCCCCTTTCAATCCCCCACATGCCTAGGGACAGATTCATTCCTGCACCGGTGTAGTTGCCAGCACAGGGACAGAGGGTCTGACTGTTTTGTAGTGTTGTAAGTGCTGAATGGTTGCTATGTTTCCACCCCAGAGGTGGCTGCAGTTCAGTGGCTTGTTTGATTATCCCTGTGCAGGTTGTAAAGCAATGACTGTGGTTTCCTTTGGAAGGACATGTGCTATATGTTATCGTTTATTATTAATAATAATTCCTGCTTCATGGGGTAGGTTTTACCTTTCCCTAGGAAAAGAAAGCATTACCCCAATAATCAGAGGTAAGTGTGTAGGGCCCAATTTTGCAAGGTGCTGAGTGAATCTTGTGTGGTGCTGAGTTATCTCAGCTTCAGCACTCAGCACCACAGGATCAAGCCCTTAAAAGAACAAACTCCCTTTGTCCTCCTGTCTGTTCATAAGGCATTCTCCTCTTCTCCCCTTCAATTCCAGCCCTTTTCAGAGCTGCTATCGCACTCATGCCCAGCAGCCCACCAGGCCCAGGGATCTGTAGCTCTGGAGGTTTCCTGGATAGCACAGTGCTGCTGCTGGACCTTCAGAAACAGCCCTTTTATCACCTTATTTCCTGTCCTCCTGCCAAAGCCAAAGAGAGCGTATTTGATTATTTTTCCTGTTTTTTTTTTAATTCCTGGCTTTTGGTAATCAATCCCCCACAGACACCCCAAGGCTCTGCTCAACTCTCTTTCCATTGAATAACTTAGTGTAAGCCCTTGTAAAGTTTGCCCTAAAATGGATTCAGTCCAAGCCTTTTGTTCCTTAGTAAAGTACAAGCGACAGACAGTAGATCTTTTTTTTTTTCTGTTTAATGTGTATAAGCTTCTTTTGGAAGCTTGGTCCAAAGAACATTCAGTTCATTACTCAAGGCAGCTTATTTAGAGCTGCTATTTGCTCAGGAAGCAAAGCTGCTGCTTTTGAGAAAAGTGCAAGTAGTTCTTTATGACTTTTCTATTTCCTCTTTTAGGGCCCAGCTGAGAACTACTTCTTCCTTTCTTATTAGGCAAAACTCCCACTGGGCCTCATTTTCTTCTCACTCCCCTGCAAGTCAGGAATAATTACACAGAAGCCAGGGGAACTACATCAGAGTAAAACTGGTGGGAGGATAACCAGGGCCATCGACAGAGGGAGCTCTGCCTGAGGAAGGCAGGTCCTTACCTCATCATACAACCAACCAGCTGAAGTCCCATCTACACTAGAAGAAACCTGTATTAGTCTATCCCGCTTTTGAAAACTGGTTCTGTATAGCACAGGTTTAGGAAATGGAGCCTGCTCAGTATGAAAAACTGTAAGGTTAGATTTCCTACAGTGGTCTACATTGCTTTCAGAAAAATGCCTTAAGCCTGTGTTGAGTCAAACTGGTCTTTCATTCAGTATAGCTAACAGCTAATCTGAATCTACCGTTGGCAGGGCTTTAGCATAACTGCCAGGCTGAAAGTGCTCAGTACATTATTGCCCTATGTTTCCTTGTGCTAGCCTAGATGTAAGACAGGCATAACTCCCCCATTCTGGGGAATAGCCCTCAGCACAGGGAATGTTTGTGCCTCAGGAGCCCAGGGGGCAGACAGCATGGCAGAGAGGCCTAGGGATAAGTCAGTGTGTGGGTGGGATTGGGGGTGGCCAAGATACACCCATATCTCAGCAATTCTGTACTCCTGCAGAGACCACTAGAGCAGGGATATAAATTAGGTAGCCCTAAGCTGCATGGCCCCTACAGACCTGACTTGGAGAGGTGCAAACTGCCTTGCCTCTGTTGCTGCTGGGGTGACCAGATAGCAAGTGTGAAAAATCCGGATGGAGTGGGGGGAGGGGGTAATAGGAGCCTATATAAGAAAAAGACCCAAAAATCGGGACTGTCCCTATAAAATCGGGACATCTGGTCACCCTAGTTGCTGCACTGACACCTGAATCAGGGCCTAAATGATTTACCACATCAGCTACTTGTTAAGGTTGTGACATAGTAACTAGAGACTAGTGATTAGAGGGAACTGGGACTGAGGACTTGTGGGTTCTATTCTTGGCTCCGAGAGGGTGTGTTCTCTTGTAACTAGAGCAGAGTATGGCTTGTGCAGCCTAGTCCAGGTGGGTTTTGGGAGGGGCTCAGGGGAGAGTGAACTAGAGGTTAATTCTGAGGACTGTTTTCTATTCCTGGTCCTAGGAAAGACCATGGTTTAGTGATCACAGCTGGAATTTTGGCATCAAACATCTTAAGAGACCCAACCAAAACACAACCTGCACTACATTTTAGGGATGTGGGAAGAAGAAACTAGTCTCTCCCACATGTCCATGCCCTTGGATCTGAGACAACAAGCCTCACTCTCTTCTCGGTAGATTTATTTCAACTGTATCCCTTCGATGTCTTACTCCCAGTCTTCTGCTTTAACCATTAGACAAATAGGAAAGAATCTGGCCCTAACATCTGTACACAGCTGGCAACAATTAGATACGGATAAAGGACATACCATCAGAATATAGCCACCCTCTTTGCAATTTAAAATATATTATCACAAAGGTCCCTTATGGCCTTGGAATCTATGAATCTATCTCCTTTTTGAAAAGTCTTTGTTTCTCTGTTAAGATCAATCTGACCTAATTCAGCTGTAGCTATGGTTTTTTGAAGGCCTCACTTAGAAGACACCATGGTGGGTTGGACTGAGACTAAATCATCACGTTCAGTTCAGCAGAGATTGGAGCTTTAAGGCCCCAAGGATTCCACTGTTTCTTTAGTCATTTAAATTGATTACAATACATTTTTAAAATAGCAGGTAGGTCTCATTTCTTTTTAATCTGTTCTTTGGGCAAACCATTCCAAGGGGGTTAATGTGGTTAACAATTCCTGATGGGTACAGTTGTTGTGCTACAGTTGCTTGGTGGGAAGGAATCTTAGCAAGCCAGCTGCAATTAACTCAGCAATAAATCCTGTCCCTTTGTAGAAAGAACAAATAGTATAAGCTGTGGAGTGCCAAAAGCTGACCTAGCTTATTTCTTCTGCAGCTCCACTGACTTCTCACCCCATGATGGCACTGATGGTGTGGGATGCTTCTGCAGTCAGTTCCTGAAGTTGAACACTCCCTGGCCAGGCTTTCTCACTGGAGGGCCCACACCCATGGACCCAGACTGTGACTTAGCCATAGAGGGGACCATCCATGTACCGATCTCACTTCCAGAGAGGCTTAGCCCTGCCCGTCTCTGCATCATCCTTGTCCTTAGCCAGATAACA